TTCTTATTGATTTATAGCATTTCTTTAACAGATACTGCTCTTTGATAATGTAACTTGTTCCCCAAGTCTTCTTTGATAAATAGATTTTTACAATTTTATATAGTAAATTTATCAATAATTTTTGAATGACTTAGCATCTTTTTTTTTCTTTGTTTTGGCTTAAGATCCTCTGTAGGTCCACCTGCAGTAGCTCAGGCAGTATAGGAGCTGCTGTGCGGTGCCGGAGACCATGTCAGAAGCCTCAGGTAAGCGTATGAGGTCTACTTCATCTACCTCTATGCATGCCCATGGGGATACCAGGATCCAGGCTGGTGTAGGGGTACAGGGAGGGTCATGATACAAAGATCCGGCTGAAGGTGCCTCTCTCTATCCCTGTTTCTACTTCTCATGTTAAGGAAATGAATGAATAAAGTTTAAAAAGAAAAAACAAAACTTCCCTAACCTTGAGATCATGAAGATATACTCCTGTGTTGTCTTCTAAATCATTCAACATTTTGCTTTCATATTTAGGTATGTCATTATACTTTATTTTTGTGTATGGTATTTGGATATACAAGGGGATATTCACAAAGTTCATGAAAACTGCATACTATGCAAAAACTGTGTATGGATTTCAGTTATTTGCACCAAAATAAACTCATGCTATAATTCCATTTGCCATGAACTTTTTGAAGTGTATACACATATATGTGCACAACAGTAGACCCACATGTAAGCATATGTTATACTCAGGTTAAACATATAGGTAAAATATATGTGTGTGTAGATATATATCTCTTTTCTACATGTTAACCTCTTATTTTCTTCTCTTAAATTCTGCATTACTACTCAGGTAATTACTTCACAATATTTTCCGTTTCACTATGCTCTCCTTGCTTGTATTTAACCTACTGTTCATCATGAATTATTTTTAACTTCAATTATAGTTTTCATTTCTTGAAGTACTCTTTGGTTCAAATATCTCTGATCATATATAACATCTCTATTCATCATATATCCTTCATTATTTTCAGAGCTTAAACTTTTTTTTAGAGAGAGAGATTTTTGCTGTAGGGTGTATGTGCTTGCCAGGCAGAAGGCAAAAAATCACACACATACACACACACCCCAGGAGAGATGGCCATGCTGTAATCCCTTCTCCTCCATTCTCCTTTCAGGATCTCAGGCCTGTACACACACACATACCCAGTGTGAGTTTTAAGCCACTGGCTGCAGGACTCAAACTGTGGTAGAACACATGGGAGTCCAGCAATGTAACTATTACACCTTCTGATAGTCTCAGTTTTTTAAACATTTTAAACAGGGATTTAAAAAAAAAATTATTAGGGAAACAGAAGATGGCATAATGGTTGCGTCACTAGTCTCCCACATAGTTGACCATGGTTTGAGTCCCAGACCTGGTGGCTTAAAACTTACACCAGGTTGGGGCTGGAAGGTGGCATGATGGTAAAGAGTGCTAGAATCCCACATGGCTGACTGTGGTTTGAGTCCCAGACCTGGTGGCTTGCTCGCTCTCTCTCTCTCTCTCTCTCTCTCTCTCTGTGTCACTCTGTCTCTGGTCAAATTAAAATAAAGGAATAAAGTTAAGTAAAATAATTCTTAAACAAACAAAAAAAAAAATGCACACTGAGTATGTGTGTATGCGTGCCTAAAATTCCAAGAAGAGACTAGAGAAGAAGGGATTGTGATGTAGCGATCCCCCGGGGAGGTGATTTCTTGCTTTCTGTCTCTCTGTCTCTCCAGTGAGTACACACACCCTATAGCAAAAAATCTTGCTCAAGGGATGAGCAGTTTGCATTATGGCTATGTCGCTTCTTCTCCCATGTAGTCAACCATGGTTCGAGTCTCGGACCCAGTGGCTTAAAGTCAAGCCAGGCGCATGTGCATGTGTGCCCAAGATACTGAGAGGAGAATGGAGGAGAAGGGATTACGGTGTGGCCATCCCCTCTGGGGGTGATTTCTTGCTTTCTGTCTGTCTGTCTCTGTCTTTCTGGCAAGCGCACATGCCCTATAGCAAAAACCTCTCCAAAAAAAAAAAAAATCTCGCTCAAAAAAATAATAGTAATAATAATAATTGGGGCCAGTGGGTGGCATGGTGATTAAGGCACTGGACTCCCACATATCTGACCATGGTTTGAGTCCTGGACCTGGCAGCTTGCTTTCTCATGTTCTCTTTCTCTCCCTCTCAAGCACAAGAGCCCTGTAGCAAACTAAAAATAATAATAATAATAATAATTTTTTAAAATTCCTAATCTGATATTTCTAATATTAGAAGCTCTTTGAGAGCTAATTGAATTTTTGTTGTTTCTTTCCCATGTCACTTGTGATAAAATAAAATCTCCTATTTTCATGTACATGATCTGTAAGGCATCCTGTAAAGCCTACACTGAAGGTGACTTTCTCCAAAGATAATTTGCATTTTCTTCATTAGGAATCCCAAGGCATATAACCCAGGACCACTTTCAGATGGTTTATTGAGCTTTCTGGGTAAAGTAAATTCAGGTTTCAAGCCTGCCTGTTGTCAGGACCACGGTTCCGAATTCTCAGGGAAGTATTAACATGACTTTCTCTTATCCGAAGATGATACTGAGATAGGATAGTTACTAGGTTACCTCCCTCTTCTAGCTATGGACTTTATCTGCCTACTTTGCCACTGGAGGTAGTGTCTTTTGGGTCCTGTATTTATTTCAGAAATTCCATTCAAACTCCCAGGTATTCATAAGATCTAAGTCATTCTTCCCATCCCATATCAACTGTTGAAATTTAAGGCTCTAATGGGAATGTTCATACCTTCTTGGTAGGAATATAGGAATATGAAATAATGCAGCTACTTCAGAGAATAGTTTGGTAGTTTTTTGGTTTGTTTGTTTATTTTTGGGAGAGTGTTTGTTTGTTTGTTTGCTATAGGGTGCATGCACTCACCAGAAAGACAGAAAGAGACAGAAAGTGAGAAGTCATCCCCCAGGGGAACAGCCACACCACAGTCCTCCTTCCTCCATTCTCCTCTCAGGATCTTGGGCACACATGCACACGCATCCGGTGTGAGTTTAAGCCACCAGGTCCTGGACTCGAACTGCTGTCAACTACATGGGAGTCCAGCAACATAGCCATTATGCCAACTGCTGGTCCCAGTTGGGCAGTTTTTTAGGGAGTTAAACATACACTTAATACTCAGAAATCTCACACCTACATATTTACCTAAGGAAAATGAAAACCCTTGTTCACACAGAAACCTGTAGCCAAATGCTTATAGTGGTTTTATTCATAATTGCCTCAAACTGGAAACAACCCAAATGTCTATCAACTGAGGAATGGATAAACCATGAAATATTCATACAATAGAACTGGAATACCACTCAGCAAGAGAAAGCGATGAACCACTGACACACACAACATAAGTGAATCTCAACATGCTCACATATGTACATACATGATTCCACTAACAGAACATTCTGGAAAAGGCAAAACTGTATGGTCAGAAAACAGATCAGCGGTACCTAGAGGCTTAGGTAAGGAGAGGGGTTGACTACAAAGGGGCACAGAGAGGGCTGGCCCTGTAGCGCAGCAGTTAAGTTCTTTGCAGAGGGAGCTCGATCCCACATGACCAATCACAGTTCAACTCCTAGTTCGAAAATGCACAGGGTAACTGTGTGAGCATGTAAAAAATCTTTGTGGGATGCAGAAATGGAGGAAAAGGAATTTTCATGTGACCGAGCCCCACTGAGAGGGTACTTCCTTCCTCCCTCTGAACAGTGCACACAATGCAATGATCTTCCAGCAACTAAAAAACAGAAAAGGGGCCAATCCATGGTCTGGTGGTTAAGGTGGTTGGATTCTGCATGGTCTGTTAGACAGTTGAGTCCTGGACTCATTGGCTTGAAAAACATGCCAGGCACATATGTGTGTAGGCCAGAATCTGGAGAGGAGGGAGAAATGAAGGAGAGATTGTGGAGTGGCCATTCTCCATGGGCTGTGCTTTCTCACTTTCCCTGCTCTCTCACCATCTCTCTGTCACTCTTTGGCAAGTGCATGAGCCTTCTGGCAATTAAAAAAAAATACACATTTTTAAAAATATATGAACACAAATATTTAGAGGTAAAGAAACTGTTATCTTGATCTTAATGATGGTATACAACTGTATAGATCTCCCAAATTTGTAAAAATGTACATTTAAAAGACTAAATTTTACTATATGTAAATTATACCTTCATTTTTAAAAAAGGAAAAGGAAAAAATTCAAAGCTCGAAGTTCCTTTTATTGGCAGACAGTTCTCTGGCTTTTCGCCCCTTCATATATTTGGTCCCTAAGGATTTTCCTTCTTATAAGTGCAACGATGAATTTTCAAAGATGTTTGTATTTTATCTAGCATTTATAGGCATTTTGAAACAGGAGAATTTTAAGAATAGCTTGTCTGCCATATTGCCAGAAGCAAAAATCTGTCATTCTTTTAAAAACAAGACTATCTTAAAATTTCATGATCTTTTTCAATTCATTTTAACACTGTATCCTCATGTTTCTATGAAGTGCAATAATGCAGTTACGGTATTACCCCCCCCCCACATGGACAGGAAAACCAAAGCTCAAAAAAGCTGAGATGTATTTCCTATTGCATATCTACACATCTACTCCAGACTGAATTAACATATCATCTAAGTACGGAAACCAATTGGAAGATTATCTTACATCCCCCAGAATTAGATCCATGAGACACAATTTTGAGGATCATGTACATTCTGGATCATCCATTCCTGGGAGCAGAATAAGCTCTACAACCATAGCAAGTCTTTTAATTCTCCACCTAGTTTCAAATCACCTACTTCATAGAATTGTTGTGACCATTAAATTAGTTCATTCATGCCAAGCACATAGAACAGCGTGTCTCACACAGCCGAGTTCAATAAGCATTTGTGCCCTTCCCACTAATATAATTTTGGAAACGTCTCCAACAACATTGAAAATCAAACATTGCCTATACATAAATAAGAAAGTTAGCGCTTACTTTGAAGAAGCCATGCTTTTGGTTGCGCTGGCCAAGCCATAAATTGCTTCCTGGGGGAAGATTTGTTTCCGGAGGGTCTATAACACGCTCATAAATCCTGTAGAGGCAAAGAACATAGTTCCTAATAAAGAAGCTCAAAGCAAACCAAAAGACACACATGCTCTTTAGAGGACTCATGGCATTAGCTGCTGGTATGAAAAGATGGAGCCAATATGTGAAACACTTTCATGACAGGTACCTTAAAGGTAGAGACCTGTTTCTTGACCACACTTGGACACATTATTTAGACTCCTCCTGCCTTTCTGGCATCTCTCTTTTGGCAGGAGAGGGAGAGTAGTGTCTCTCAGAACGATGACCTTTACACCAACTCAGTGAGAAGAGGGGGTTTACACACGAGTTGCAGTTGTTAAAACTGAAGGTTAGAGAAAATAAATGAGTCACCCAAGACAGTGGGAGTAGTAGAGCTAGAATGAGAACTCTCATCTGCCTGGCTCCAAAGCCCAAGTACTTTCTTTTGCATCTTCTGCTTCCCAAATTGGGTGTAGTCAGCTGCTCTGCATTTCTGAGAGAACTCTTTAAACAAGTGAGTAGCAGCTGCCCAGATGGTAGACTTTGGCCTACAAAATCAAGAAACTGAAGACATCTTCCAATCAAGAAATATTTATTGAGCGCTTTTATGTCCCAAGCGCCACACTAGGCAACAGGAAATAGAGCCATAAACCAGACGTACAAGGTCCTGCCATCATGGAACATAAAATAAAATTCTGTGCCCGAAGAAAATCGTCATCTGATTCATATGGGCATTTAACTAATAAAGAAGAGGCTAGAGGTGCAGGATTTTTGAAGGTTTCTACAGAGCCTAGAGAACAACCAAATGTCTCCATTGCTCAGCCCTCTCAAGGTCTTGGTAGCCATGAATCATCACCTTTGTGCCCTACAACCACCAGCTGATCACAAGCCTCAGCCTCTCCCCTGGTAAGTACCTCTCAGTAACTGATGTCAGATGAAGCCCTCTGTAAATTTCCATTCCTCATGAGAGTCCTGCCCATCCCTTGCTTTCCTCAGTTCACACTCCAAGCAGGTGCCGAGCAGTCACTCTTCAAGTGTGTCCAGAGGCCCGAACCACTCATCAGTCTTCCCTGCTGTGACGGAGCTGACTGCCTGCTGCCAGAGGATGATGTATTCCTCTGGTGGTTCTCACAGGGAAAGTGCGCAAGAACTGAGATTGTCCGGTTGTGTCAAGGAAAGTGAATGATTGCCAGACGCTTGCAGGTGGGGGCTGTCACACTGCTGTCTTACATCTTAGCTGCATCGTCCATTACGCTGCTAGTCTCTGCTGACAAACCTGCTGTTTCCTAAGAATATGGGCAAGGTATTCAGCTGACAAAGCTCTAAATACATCGGGTCTTTTCTCTACTAATTATCTTTCCATTATAAATGGAGACTCAAAACATAATCAAGGAAAAATACATTTCCCTAAAAAAAAGACAGGCGGTGCTTTCTGCACAGGAAGTTGACCTCTTTGGTATGTTAGAATGAACCATTAGAAGAGATGAGACAATTTGTCAAAACCACTTTAACACAAGAACTTGCCATATACTTCCTTAAAAAGAGTGTTTTCCCTCTAATATCAGTAGAAAAACTAGAAGGAAACCAAATTTACAGCAAATGAGAAATGCATAAGTTATGGTAGATCAGCTTGAAAAAATTTACTACAGTTATTAAGAGTGATAAAAATGCAAGTTATGAAACATGGGAAAGGATATAGAAAATAATTTTCACTGGAGGTTGTGGAATGTAAAATTATTTATGCACTATGAAGATGATGCAAAAATTATGTTCAGTATTGGCAAATACCAGAAGAGGCCAGAGAGAAGTGGAAATCATTTTATTTAGGTGAAGAGGCAGAAGCATAATTTTCTATCAGGTTGTTTTACTAATAAATTGAAAATGTTGTCAAACGATTTACCTTCACCTTTGTTTTCAAACATTTGCCTCTGTCAGAACGAGAGCAGCTTTCAATTCAAAAGCTTTCTTCTGGCATTCAACAAGCTAAACAACTCCAAAAAGCACAGTATGCCCTTAATCCATGTTTATTAAATGCACAAATAAATGAAGGAAAAAAAATGGAAAACAGCTCTTTGTGCCTTAGAAACAGTTGAGGACAGGGTAAGCAAGTGGCGTGGTGGTTAAGGCTCTGGATTCCCACATGGCCGACATGTCCTGGACCTAGCAGCTTGCTTTCTCACATTCCCTTCCTCTCTCTCTCTCTGCTCAAATTAAAAACAAGAAAGAAAGAAAAGAAAAGGAATAGTTGAGGAAGCCAACATCCATAACCTAGAGAAGGGTGCCCCATGGCACATGTGTCAGAATGGAATTCTGATTTCCTATGTTATATACCGACCCAGAAATCCCTTCTTTCTGATGCCAAAGAAGGTCTGCTGGATGTTGCCTTCCTGGTGGCCTTGCCGATTGATTCCAGAGGCACTATTGACTGAGGAAGACAAAAGGCAGAATCTCCAAATTGAAATCAAATGTAGCAACATGAAACTTTAAAACATAGCATTAAGAAAAAACAAAACAAACAGACAAAAAAACACATGAAGGAAATTAATTACAAGGAACTATCAAACAAAGTCAAATTGAAAAATATCCCATAGAAAAACTATTTGTCCTAATTTAAACATTTAAATCATGAAAAACAAAGAGAGGCTGGGAATAGTTAGAGATTAAAAGAGATCAAAGAGACACAAAAACAAAGTGCAAGATGGGATCCTGGGGCCAGCTCCCTGCCTGACGGTTAAGGCAGCTGGATCCCACATGGCCCAGAGTCCCAGATCTTGCAGCTTGTGAAATATGCCAGGCACATGTGTGTGCATGCCCAAAATCTCCAGGGAGAAATGGAAGAGAAGGGATTGCCACATGACCATTGCCCACGGAGAATGTGTTCTCCTCTCCCCTTCTGTCTCTCTCTAGCATGTGCACCCTCTAGCAAAACACAAACAAAAAAGATGGCATCTTGTATCAGATCCTGAGTCAGGAAAAATATCCCATAAAGGATAGTACTGAGAAAAATGGTGAAATTTCAGTAAAATCTGAAGAATTACAGATTATGTGACAGTACTGTATCAAAGCAACATTTCCTGATTTTGATTATGGGGTGGCATATATTTAAGTGACTGTCCTGTTCATAGGAAACAGATAATGAAGTATTTAAGGGTGGAGAGTCTTGTTTACAATTTATCCTCAGAGTATTCAAAATAATAATAATGTGTATATAAATATATATGTATACATATATTTAATTATTTAAGGGGCTAAAGAAAAGGTAAAATTTCGATGAAGAGTACAAGAGAACTTCCAAAAGTGTGGGAAATGGACTCAAAATATGAATTTATATTAGTGCAAAAATTTCTTAAGTAATTATTTTATTATTATTATTCTTATTTAGTTTGACCAGAAAAAGAGAGAGAAAGAGGGAAAGTGAGAAAGCAAACCACCAGGTCCAGGACTTAAACCATGGTCGGCCATGTGGGATTCCAGCACCTCAACCACCATGCCACCTGCCAGCCCTGTTTGCAAAACTTTTTGAAATGCACACAATTTTTCATAACATGCATATCCATAAACTTTTGAAGACCCCCTCATATATGATTTATCATTGTACCATTATCATAATTTTTCTGTGAACTTGTTTAAATAAAAGGCTTAAAATTTTGAGTTAAAAAAAAAAAGACCTTCAATGTATGTGAACCAAAAACACATACATGCAAAGTAACATTATCTATTAGCCAAAGATTCTGACAGTGTTTTCTTACCACATGCCTAGTGGTAATATTAAGGAGGAAAAGTAAGAATGAATAAATGAATGAAATGAAACAAGAAAAGAATAGTACACAAACTAATCCTGTACCATAAACCAAAAGCTGTGATCTGCATGTTGGTATCCTTCCAATATGCATATGCTGGAACCTACTGTCCACTGTGATAGTATTAAAATATGGGCAGTGAATAAGTGATGAAAATTCTGTCCTCACACTTGAACTTTGATTAAAGGGAGCTGCCTCGCCCTTGCAGCCATGTGACGATGCATCAAAAAGTTACCAACACTGGACACAGAAATGAAGCTCTTACCATAAACTAAATCTGTTGTGACCTGGATCTTGGACTTACCACCCTCCAGAACTGTGAGTAATAAATTTCTGTTACTTATTTAAAAAATGAAGATATTTTGGTATAGCAACCCAAACAGACTAAAACACCAAGAAAGAGAAACATATTCCTACTTGCATCCCTGTATGAGGGAATTTATTTACCTACATGCCAGATAAATACAGTCAGAATCTTGGCCAAAGAGTTGCTGACCCATGGCGTAAAGTCTGGACTTGCTCATGGACACAGAAACATAGGGCACGGGGACCTGTTACTTAAATCTAGTATCATTCAAGTTAAGTGAAATGAAAAGTCAAAGCTAATAAAGTGAACTTCTTGCTCTCTGCAGTGGTAAGGAAATTAAATCTTCTGATACATACAATATTCTGGCTAATGAGGTTTCCTTCACATCAGCAAATATCTGATGGCCTGCAATGTATGTGACACTACGCTGACTACGGGGATACACAAAGGCAAATTTAAAATGGCCAAGTCCTGGCCCTCGGGTCTAAAATCTGAGATGGACAAATGATATGCATGCACATATCTTGTAATCCAATGCACTGAATATAATGCTTCACAGAAGCATAAGAAGGAAGGATGACAGAATTCTGTCTGCATAGTCAAAGAACACATACCAAAGAAGGGGACACTACAGTTGAGATGTGGATGAAAAATACAGTTGAGCTGACAAGGCACGCAGTCATAGACAGCACTTAGTATATGCTAAGCCTTGTACTGAGGGCTTTCAATATATTAATTCACTTCATCTTTACACACCAACATCAAGACGATGGTCCTAGCTCAGTGAGTTTAAATAATTTGTCAATGTTAAAGCAGCTTGAGAGTGACAGACAACAGACTGGAACCCAGATCCCTTAATCTGTGCTACTGACAACTTTGCTATAGCACTTCTCTAGATAAGCAAAGAAGGGAGTTTCCAGC